TCTACCATACAAAGCCTTGTATGGTGCCATACCGATGCTAGAGTGGAATTGAGAGCCCCTAAAAAATATATTAATCTCATAAAGGAATGGGTAGCCTAAAAAGAAAGAAGATGAATTGTTTAAAAAAAAAAAAAAATAATAAGGTAAAACAACATATTTAAATTATAAATATTTTATTTTTTTCTCATAAAATGTATAAAAAAATTTATATGTTCGTTTGGCATGTTCATTTGGATTAAAGTTGAGGTCTATTTTAATTACAAAAAGATAAAATAAATTTTTTAGTCTCAGGATAAGAATTATCATATTTAAATTATAATCATTATATTTTTCTCTCATAAAAATTAAAAAAATCTATCTTAAACGAAAATAACTAAAAAAAATCAATAAGTAAATTCACATCTTAAACGAAATCATATAAACCATATATCATAATAAGCTTGCCTAACTCGGAAAGTAAACGTTGTGGTGAAAAATGTTATAGTTAAAATATTGAAAAATGTATTAAATTTATTAAAATGTGGCTTGCATTTTTATAGCAGAATAAAGGCTCCTAATAAAAATATTTAGCTAATTAATGCAAAACAATTTATTACAAAAATACTATATATGGCCGGTATCACATATATACTTGGGTAAAAAATAAGATTACCTTGTTTTATTTTGAGTGATTTTATTAATTACAATATATAACAATAATGATATTCTCAAAACACCTTGAGAGCTTATTTAGGAAGTATATTTAGGTTAAAATAGTCACATAAGACAAAATAAGTTATTTTAATTAAATAAGATAAAATGTCACATCTAACTCGTAATTATTTTATTTTTTATTTCACAAAAATTAAAAAAATCAAAAAATATATATTAAACAAAACTTTTTAACCTCAAACTAAAATAATTAAAAAAATTAAAAAATTAACCCGTCCCAAACATGTTCGGAATAATTTTCACCACTTTTCTGATCCCTTGCCCATAAAAAACTACAAAGACAAGAGACAAAGCAACTTTAACAAGAAAGAAAAGAGTCAACTTTCATGATGACCAATGATGAGCAAGAGATGGTACATTGGTCCTACCTTTTCAAAACACCACAGCTTTACATGCAATTGCTTGCTACGTATGGTAAATCTCCCCATCCATCCATTCACTGTTTCATGTACATTTTGAATCTCTTTTTTCCACTCCAATGTCACATACTTACAAATATGGATGAGTTCTTCCAAGAAAGAAGTTGTTTTTAGAAGCACTTCTTCTAAGAAAGTTGTTGCTTCTGTCAATCGAAATACACCTCTTTTGCTTCATGTCACATTATGCAAATATGTATTTATAGTGGACAAAAGAAGAGACATACTTTTAAGTTTTTTTATAAGGAATTTTTCCTATACATATTATCAAAAAAAGATGCACATTACATATACCATCATTTTTAACAATATCGTCTGAAAAAATAAATTCAAATCATTAATTTTATAATCAAATTCCATAATATAACGTACTTAATTTTTATTTGATAATTTATTAGTTCAACTATCACTGTGACTCATAACTAATTTTACAAAAATTTATAAGTAACACAAATTTGAATAATAACTTGGAGATGGTAGTGTAACAAGGATTTTTATTTTTTATAATAATATGTACGAGTATCATTTACATTCTCATACTTCAGAGGAGGAAGAGGCGTCGAGGATTGAGCACTTGACATGATAAACCCGACCTTAAAAGCACCGATTACTGAGATGTAGGGGTATAAATTAGGTTCGACCTAGTCCTACTCATGTTGGGTTGCTCAGACTCCCGTCAAAATTTTGATGTGGCCAGGCTGATCCACGGGTTAGAAAATTAGGCCCAGGCCAGGACCAGGAGATATTTAGGCCTTGGGCGGGCCTAGGCCTGGGTTCAGGCTTGGGCCAGGTCTGAACATTTTTTAAATTTTTTTTTATTTTTTCTCTCAAAATTTTATTATTTTTCACAAAAAATGATACTGGACCTCTAGCCGAGTTTTGAGTAGGTGTTGAATGGGCCAATGGGCTAGGCTCACATATCGGACTGAGCTTTGAAATGATAGCCTAAACTCAAACCTACACTTAAGCGAGTTAGGCTCACCCCAAACCTAGTGAAACTTCAAACCGCTCACAAATCGAGGGCTATTTTTACACTCCTACTGAAATGATACCAATGTCTTTGAATGCTATTTTGGGTTCGTTTGGGATGTGAGTTGACTTTTTAACTACTTTAACTTGGGGCTAAAAAGTCTCATTTGTATTGATTTTTTGATTTTTTGATTTTTATTGTTGTGAAAGAAATAATGAAATGATTATGATTTAGATTTGATATTTTATTTTATTAATTTTTTAATTTAATTTATTTTTTATATCTAAAATAATAAAAAAATCAAACTTTTTGATATACCAAAGGAAGACTTTGACCATAGGTCCATTTCCTCTCGTATTTATTGGGAAGACTGATTTGTCTAGTCTAGGCCAGTAGATGAATTATTAGTGTCGTTTTGGGAACCTTACAAAAACGCAGCTTTCTCAGCCCAAAATCAAAACGCTGAAGTGTTGAAAAAAGCTGAACCACCATTTGGAAAGAGCTGGAAACGCAACTTTTTTGTTTACCAATCTACCCTCATATCTCATACATTAGGGCCTAGGGCAAAACGAAGCAACATTTGCCTTATTCAGCTGCTTCATTCTGCGAACTCCTCCTTCAAGCGGCGCCGTGTAACTCCCTCTAACAACCGACGACCTTGCCGTCCCTCGCCGAAGCTGCGGCCGGATTCGTCGTCCATGTCCTCGCCTTCGCCGGATCTGCACCATTAGGTACGTCGAAAACCCTCTTCCATTTACTATCACAAGTAGTGACGGACCGAAATCCATTTTCTGTTCTGGGTTTTTGGGTTTGGACGAAATTAATCCACTTTCTTTGTGTTTTGAATTGGACCAATTTTTGGTTGAATTGGTTGTTGTTTTTATTTAAAAAGTCAATGGCTTTGGTGTTATGTTATGGCTTAGATTGTTCTCATAAGGGGCTTATTTGCAGTATCTGTTAGATTTGGATGGTTTACGTAAATTCAATCTGTGGCACTTGTATACTGTATAATTTCATGCTCTTGTTGTATACTATTCATTCATTGGGGATGTCCCTATACTGGGATTTTGGGTTTTGATGAAAATAATCCGCTTTCTTTGTGTTTTGAATTGGGCCAATTGGTGGTTGATTCAATTTTTCTTGTTTTGGTTAGAAATCAGTGGCTTTGGTTTTATGTCTTGTACATGTAGTTGATTATTGCAGGGTCTACATTGTTCTCATAAGGGGTTTCTTCATAGTATTCGTTAGATTCAGCTGGTTTAGCTCAAATTGGTTAGCTTAATGCCCTATAGATAAATTCTACATGCAACACTTGCAGAGTCTATTATGGCTGAGACTTGTCTTATATACTATATCAATATATATGGTAAGTCTTATGCTTCTGATACAATTCAATTAAATTTTTTTATACATGATGTGGGTTGGAAGCTTATGGACTAATTCAATGAACTCTGGGCTTAGCAAAGCTTTTATGTGTCTTTCGTATGGAGCACGTACATGCATCTATTTCTGCCTTCACACTTTATCACCTGATATGCAAGTGGAAATGTTGAGCTATGTATGAATGGCACGATAAACAATTTATGTAGCATTCTTTAAATCGTTTTAAATTTTATCATTAGTTTTTTTTTTCTAATTGAGAAACCCATTGCTGTCAATGTAATAATTATTTATCCATCACACAAAAACTATACCATTGCAATGAAAATCTAACACAAATTTCATTCAAAGATATAAAAAATTACCTAACCATTGTGTCTTTCTTCATTACCATTAGTTCATTACCTAACTATTGTGTCTTTCTTCATTACCATTAGTTCATTACCTAACCATTGTGTCTTTCTTCTGTCAATGATCTTGTGGAGGTTCCATGATCTATCACAGTGCATTCATAAACAAATACAAATTCCTAAATTCAAAGTGCAGGTTGTTCACGTATTAACCTAAATTCAAAATGAACTTGTTTCAGTTATTGTCTTTCATTCCACACAGTAGATTATATTAGTTCAATTTATAACATGAACAAAAAAAAACAAATGAGTATACAGATGGCGTCCTCCACGTCAAGTGCCACTTCATCATGGCCACCAAGGATGTGTGATTGTGGGTTTGGATACTGCGTCGTAAAGATATCAAGATCCACCAAAAACCCTGGTCGTGCGTTCTACGTTTGCCGTAGAACTACGGTGCGTTTGTGTTACCACTCTCTTATGCGCTTAGTCACAAAAACTCGTCGTTCATTTGTGGTTGTGTCGTATAGTATGCATGCTAACTATCTACTGCAATTTTGTCCAGTAGAGATGTGCGTCGTGGGTTGGTTAGTGTGACGAGTTTCGCAGCACTAGCTTGCGTACTGACTAGCCACATAATGATGTCGATCAGGGGTTACGAGCAGACGTTGCACGCATAGATCAGAGCCTACGTATGCTTAGGACCGTCGTTGGTTTTTTGTGCGTCGTTGTTTTGGTGTTGTTGTTCCGGATGTGATGTATTGACATGGATATTTTCTGCGTAGTTACTTTCTGTATAACATATGTATGTTGCTGTCAGTTAGATGTTTTGGTCCTGTTACATAAGATTTCCCCAATGTGTAGTACAAACGGACTTTGTCTTTCGGAAAGTGTGTACTGTTTTGTGCTTGTTACTGCAGTAACCGTGTAAACGTACTTAATTTCACTTTTGGCCATGCAAAAAATATGTATTTTACTTCATTTCTTTTCTGATATTGCATTGTAAATGTTACAAGCAGGACAACACTACTCATGGCAACAAACTGAACATCACCCCGTGCCTCTTCAAAGTATCGAGGTAACGCTGTCACAGCAACCCAACCCCAGCCAGTCTACAAATGCCAATTCGACAGCGACAATACAAAGTTGTTTCTTCAACTCATCATTGCTGAAATGGAAGGCGGTAATCGACAACCGTGCGGATTGTCTATGGCAGGGTATAAGAACGTAGCAAACAAATTTCTAGAGAAAACCGGCCTACAACATTCAGCCAAACAAATGAAAAACAAGTTTGACAACTTGAAGAAAGATTGGGTCGCCTGGAAAAAGTTAGAGAATGCTAGCCACGGCTTGACAGGGCTTGGATACGACCATGAGACGGGCTTGATCACTGCACCTGACCATTGGTGGGCGAAAATGCAAGCGGTATGTTCTCACTAAAAAGTTATGGTGCGAGTTACATTTATTGTTTTCTAATTACATTTCAAGCTGTAGTAAAACATATGTGTTTTCTCCTTCACAGATGAATAACTGATGTGCTAAATTCAGGAGTAAGCCTCTAAAGCATGTGGATCTCATGGAGCGGGTGTACTCTGGCGCAACTGTGACTGGAAAACATGCATGGACTCCAACAGAAGTTCAAGATGATGTTCCTGCTGCGACCAATGCCATGGACGTGGATAGCGGGATAAGACCTCTCAGTGCAGGCACACTACCACAGCCGGGCCATGACACTATCGGGGAGAACGTGGTTGATAGTAGCCTATTTGAGAATGCTCCCCCCCAGTCAGCCGTGGACGGATCAGGCAATCCAAAACGACGCAAGCGGGCAACGCCTGGTACTGTTGCTAGCAGCATGGACAATCTCGTGGAAGTTGTGAGCAAACAAAGCAGGGAGCTGAAAATCACCCAATATGTTGTCACGGGTAAAGGTGACAACACAGTGGGGGATTGTCTTGCACGGCTTATGAGCACGCCTGGATTAGAGACAGGCGGTAAGTTGTTCTCATTCGCATGCGGCATAATGGATTCACCCGATAATCGGGACATCATCATGGCCCTCCTCCAGAATTGCATTGTCAACTGGCTGACTGAAAAGCGTGCCTGCACGCCGGCGAATGTTGGTAGGGATCATGAAGGGGGGACACGGCTGTTCGGGAGTGGTAGTGCTGTTGACTTGGACTAGGCCTTTGTAGTTGGATTGTCATGTTACTATTTGCTTATCATGAGATTGTAGTATATTATGTGTGTTTGTATGGTGTTTGTTGACTTTTTTTTTTTTGGGATGGTGAAGTCTCGTGACAGTTTGCATTTCTTTTATTTTTGTGTAGACGTGTATGTATGCTTCTGCAGGACTTTCCAGGGTTATTTCGGTTTGTTGTGCTTCTATTTTGGTGTGGACGTGTATGCATGATTCTGCAGGACTTTGCAGCCGATATGCGAGTATACACTCCTTTGTTGTGTTATTATTTTTGTGTCACATGCTTGTCATGTTATGCACAAGTTCTGTCCAAGGAATGTACATGCAACTCTTTACAGGCTTTTTTTAACTCCTTTGTTGTGTTATTATTTAGGGAATGTACATGCAATTCTTTGCATGCTTTTTTTTCGTTTCATAATTGGCACAACGAACTCTTTGCATGCTTTTTTTAACTTATTGATTCAAATTATTTAATAGTGCCAGAAAAGTACTTACATTTCAATAATTTGTGAAATTATTTTAGCATGTGGGTGCTTCTTATTTTAATGCAAACGAAAAAAGGATGCATTCTAATTACATTTCTTGAATTGACTTATGTATTATCTATTAATTATATTTATTGTGTAAACTTATTTATTCAAAAAGAGAATATAGGCAGAAAAGTACTTACATTTAAATAAATAAAAAAATTATTTAGTTATTGGGTGCTTCTTATTTATTTAATGCAAAAAAAAAAAAAACAATAGGATGAAAAGTAATTACATTTCTTCAATTGACTTATTTATTCTTTTTTAATTTGATTTATTGTGTACACTTATTCATTCAAATTTGGTCATAGTGCCAGAAAAGTACTTAAATTTCAATAAATAAAAAAATTATTTATTTATTTTTTGCTTTTTATTTATTTAATGCAAAAACATTTTACTAGTTTCATTAATTTATTTATTTATAGTTATCTTCAAGTACAATTATTTGATTCCAAAACAGTTCACATCAAAGATTCAAAAAGTGGATGTGGCATACGTCCAAAAGCCAACAATCCTAAAGTTAGATGCTTATATGCAAGCATGCAAATACAATTTGTACAAACTTGCAAATGTAGTAGCATTCACATGGTTTTTGTTTGGTGTACTACGCTTTGGACAATCACATGCCCACAATAGCCTACGTTGATTTGCTCATTGACTGGTAGCTTCTACACGAGTGTTATATATCATGGAGTTGTGCAACGAAATTTTGGCAATTAAAAGTTACAACTGCTAGTTCTTTTTTCATATAATTTGCAACGTCTATGGATGCACAAGAGGGTACTAGCTCGGGAGTCGTACGCAATGGCCAAATAAATGCTTAGATACGAGAGACGATCGGCGAAATGGAGTCGACGACATCAATGATTTGGATGGAAATTGCTCGCGTTGCCAATGAGTATGTGTATGTTGACAGGACTCCATTTCACACATCCGCATTGACTGGTAGCATATGGATGCAAGAGATGCTTGGAGGAAGGAATGAAGCATTTTAGCGAAATTTTCGGATGTCACAGGAGGTGTTCTTGATGTTGTGCAAGACATTGGTTGAGGATTACGGCCTTCCAGTACCACAGCATCCCCATGGTATAGACGTAGTTGAGAGTGTCAGCATGTTCATATTCGTGTTATGGGGCTTCACGAGTTAGGACATAGAAGACCGTTTTCAACACTCAAGGGAAACAATCTGGCGTCATGTAATGCGAGTTCTTAAAGTGACGAAGTTGTTCACGAGAGCACACTGCCGACCGACAAGGCCACAACACAGTAGACATCCGTACTTGGAGTCCCGACGGAAATATTTCCCATTCAAAGTGAGGGTATTTATTTTTGGCCCATTTCATTATGAGTAGTACCAAGTTTCGGAAAGTAAGGCAAACTTATTTTGGGTAGTAGCATTAAAACATATTTATGATGACAAATTGAAATTTCAGGACTGTATTTGGCGCGCTTGACGGCACACATCTGGAGGCACATCTCCCGCCTCAGGAGGCACCGCCATATTTTGGCCATAAAGGACGGCACACGCAAAACATACTCATAGCGTGTGATTTCGATTTGTGTTTTACTTTTATATCTTTCGGATGGGAGGGAAGTATGCATGATAGTAGAGTTTTTAACGAAGTAACACAGGACCCAGCAAAACAATTCCCCATGCTAGAGGATGGTAGGATGCACATATAATATATTTTTTGTTTGTATTAGTTGTGTGCATTGGAAATTTCTAATCGACCATCGTACTAATGCGAAATTATCGACATGCAACCAGGAAAATATTACCTTGTTGACGCGGGGTACAAGAACCAAAAAGGATTTTTGGCGTCGTATAAGGGATGCCGATACCACCAGGAAGTGTTTCGCGCAACAAGACGGCCAAAAAATGCAAACAGAATTTTCAACACGGTGCACTCTCCTTACAGAGTGCAATTGAACGTACGTTCGGCGTATGGAAAGCGCGATGGGGATTCCTACATAACATGCCGCGATATGATTTCGGGAAAGTGCAGGTGCCATTTTTTGGGGCTTCAATGGCAATACATAATTTTATACGCCGCAACTCTAGCGACGATGAAGCATTTAACAAGGTTGCGAATGCAGAGAATTTTACATTCAACGACATGCCAAATGTTAACGGTCTTGGTGACGATGATGATGGTGAACCAGAGGGAGACGATGACATACATATGAACGCAGTGAGGAAATCAATACGGAATGAATTAGTGCGACATCGGCGTGAACTTGGGTTGTAAATCCTGTTCGGTCTGTATGAGGTGATGACAAATGAAATGATTGTGTAAACTGTTGAAAGTGTCAGAAAAAAGCCACAGTTCTATTGGTAAGTTGCAGGTTCTGAAGGCCATTTACCAAATTGTAATGTGAAAATTAATTAATGTAAGAGCGCAATTTGTTGCGAAGAATTAAGAAAATAAATATGCCATTCAATAATAATAATAAAAATGTATAAACAAAACTGTCATAATAATTTGAAAAAAGTTACTACTGGTATTTTGGTCTTTTGCAAAAAGAGAATGGATAATTTGGTAATTGTTGTATTAAAAAAATAATACATTCACTAATAAACTTGTAATAATAAATAAATAAAAATTCGTAAAAAAGAGAATAATAAATTTGTAATAATTAAAAGTATTTGGTAAAATTTGGAAAATGTAGAATATATAAAAAATAATACATTTAGTAATAAACTTGTGTAACAACCCTCATGCTGTTTACTGATTAATGACTGATTGATTACCGATAATCACCGATTACTGCTAAACGGAACTGATAATGACTGATAACTGACTGATAATTGAACTGATCAAAGTACTGAACTGACTGACCGAACTTTAAATTGAATTAAATGAATACATCTGTTTGAATTGCATTCTATCTGTTTGACTGTATGATTATCTGTTCATGCTTATATGTTTAAACTGCTAATTGAAGGCCTTATCAGCGGCCGAATCCAAAATTGATTGATGTTTAATGATCAACATAATTTATGTGATTTTATAGTATAATTATCTGAAAACTGATTGGGAATGATTAAATTAGATTAAAATAAGCTAATTAAAGAGTTGGACTTAATTACCGAATCGCCACCCTTAGTGGCCCACTCAATACACACACTTGAGCCTTGTATACACTTCAATTAGAGCATTTATTCAGCTCATTTCTTGAGCTTAACCGTCCATAGAGAGAGAGAGACAAGGGGAGTGAAGTTCATCTCAATTGTGCTTGGAGAATTGCTTGCTAAATGAAGGAATTGGAACATAGGTTGCAAATTTAACTTCCACACCTTGTAACTAAAGCTCTAGGTAAGGAATTCAACCCCTCTTTGTTGTGTTTGAGCTCATTCATGTTAGATTCTTGAGCCTCTAGTGATTCAAGTCTAGAATTGGTTCATTGTGTTGATTTGGAACTCATTTCATGCATGCATGTTTGTAATGTAGATATTTGAGTTGTTTTCATGGCAAAAGGTTACATGCATGTCCATCTTTTGGTCATACCCCATGAATTCATCATGTTCTTGAAGAAATGAGTCCATTTGAACAAGCTTTGAAGATTTTCATGGGGTATGACCAAAAGATGGACATGCATGTGAGGTATGATGAACCACAACCTCAAAACTTCAATATATGTACATGCATGCAACACTTAAGCTTCAATTCACCAGTAATGACCCAAATCATGACTTAGCTCTACAATCTAACATGGACCATGCAACAATCAGCTCAAAACATGAACAAGAAGACAATGGATTTCATGTTTGTAAACCCTAAACCTATTATTTTTCATAACCAACTAATATAAACCCTAAATTTATTATTTTCTATAATCATCTTAAATCCTGAATGTGTCATCTTCATCACCATCATCAACGATATTGAACTTGAAAGTTTTGCTTCAAGTATAACGTATACTTCATCACTTATTTTACTGTGCAGAGCAATGGAGGACGAGGACAACAATTCTAGTGAGACCGGCGTTCCATTAATAAGTTTATCTGTCTTGTATTAACATTCTCAGTCGTTTTCGGTCGTTCTTAGTTCGTTCAAGCTGTTCGGTACTGGTTTGCTGACTGTTAGAATTATGTTCGGTAATACAGTACTGAACATAATCCTTTCGTTCAATACATAGGTTCCGAACATTAATGTAGATAGTCAGTCATGTAATTTTCTTTGTTAAACTAACTTAGAATGTAAAAGAGTAAGTTTGAATGGATTTAAGTTATGTATTTTGAATGGATTTAATTCATGTTATTTTAAGTTGTGAATTAGAATGGATTCAAGTTACACAGTGATGAACAAATTTTGTTCGGACATACAGTGCTGACATGATCATTATTGTTCGATAAAACAGTTCTGAACAAAATACATTTTTTCGGCTACACAGTGGTGAACAAATTCAAAATCATCACTCGAATCTGCTGATCTCCTATCAAGATTCTTGAATTCAGGGCATTTAGATGAAAGATTTAATCTGGTTCTTCTGGCTTGTCTCCAAAAATCCAGATGTAGAAACTAAGATTCTCAAAGAAATCAATGAGAAATCTAAAGCTCCGATCTACGAAGAAATAAAAGACATGGTTTACACACACGCGTCGCTGAGTGAGACCATGAGACTCTACCCACCCATCCCCATTGACGGAAAGCAAGCTTTAAAGAACGACGTGTTGCCAAATGGGACAATAGTGAAGAAAGGTATGAGAGTGAATTACCATCCTTACGTAATGGGGAGGTCGGAGGAACTATACTGGACCAAAGCTCCAAACTCTAAAGATTGAGTGAGTCAGAGAAGGAGAGAGATGAAAAATTAGGTGGGTGTGCATTTCATTGTGAAAATATTATGAATATGGGTAAATTTGGTAATAAGTGGGGCGTCCAAAAAAATATTATTAAAATTTAGGGTTTAGGGTTGGAGTCCAAAGAAATGGGGAGTCAAAAGAATTTTGATAGGTGCTAATAGCAGCACTCTTTAAAAATTATTAAACCAAAAATCTAAAAAGTCAGTTTTTTACCAACTTCCCAAATCACATCCAAAAAGTCAAAAAACTTGATAAAAAGTCAAAAATAAACTTTTTCCTAATTTTTCAAAATAACTACTCAAAAGTCAAGACTTCTTATAATATTTTTAATGTGAAGCATATGATATTACTACAACAATAATAATATATTTCTCTAAATTAAAGAGTTGTATTGAACTTTAATGACATGAAAAGTCAAAAAAATAAAAGAAAAAACACAAGACACAAATATCCCTACCACACAGTGAGACCCACGTCCTATTAAAACTATTTTATCCCATTAAAACTTTAGAACTCCAAAATATTTTTGTTACTAGAATATACTGCTTTAACCCTTTCCAGGACCAATGGAACAGCATCAATACACATATCCAGTCACCCATCACCTTACATTAATCAATGGGGAAGCTTTTCTTCACTCTACTTGGTGGATTAAAACCTATTATTATATTTATGAAATTTATTACGAATTTTGTTTCGATAATTGGAGCCGTTTAATATATAAAATTTATCAAGTATTTTATACTTACAAAAAATTACATTGATCAGATATCGATAACCTCTTGATCGGAATATATTTTTATTAATGATAAATACGATTAAATAAGATTTTAAAATAAATGATTAACAAAAATTTATTCCGATAAAAGGGTTTTCGATATTCGATCAATGTGATTTTTTATATATATGAAGTACTCAACGACTTCTACATATTAAACGGTTTGGATTATCTAAATGGGATCCGTGATAAATTCCATAAACCTAACAATATACTCCAAATTGGCGGATTGGAGAAAATCAATCCGCAACCGTCCGCTCATCATCACGCATCCGTCCAAAATGCGGCGGATCGGTTCGGTTCGGACGATTTTGACGGATCGATATATCCGCTGCTCACCCCTAACTTTAACCCTTTCCAGGACCAATGGAACAACATCAATACACATATCCAGTCACCCATCACCTTACATTAATCAATGGGGAAGCTTTTCTTCACTTTACTTTGTGGATTAAAACCTATTATTATATTTATGAAATTTATTACGAATTTTGTTTCGATAATTGGAGCCGTTTAATATATAGAATTTATCAAGTATTTTATACTTACAAAAAATCACATTGATCAGATATCGATAACCTCTTGATCGGAATATATTTTTATTAATGATAAATATGATTAAATAAGATTTTAAAATAAATGATTAACAAAAATTTATTCCGATAAAAGGGTTTTCGATATTCGATCAATGTGATTTTTTATATATATGAAGTACTCAACGACTTCTACATATTAAACAGTTTGAATTATCTAAATGGGATCCGTGATAAATTTCATAAACCCAACAATATACTTTAATCCACCCAATAAACTGGAAACCTCTTCCCTAATTAAACACTATAGTACAGAAAACAAATCATCGACATTGTCCAAAATTCCAAATAGATAAGCATAGCTACTCCTTTATATTGTTCTATACCCTCCCAAAAAAAATAATCATGTACATGTAAGCGACGCCAACCCACCAAAAATAAATGAACTTTCAAAAAATTAAAATTAAAATTCACCCAAGAACCCTAACAATACGACAATACACTTTAATCCACCCAATAAACTAGAAACCTCTCCCCTAATTAAACACCATACCACGGAGAACAAATCATCGATATTATCCAAAATTTCAAATAGATAAGCATAGTTACTCCTTCATATTGTTCCAAAAGAAAAAAAAACTCATGTACATGTAAGCGATGCTAACCCACCAGTTTAAAATAAACAAACATTCAAAAAATGAAAATTAAAATTCACCCAAGAACCACCTCCCAAAAAAAAAAAAAATTCATGTACATGTGAGCAATGCCAACTCACCAATTTAAAATAAGCAAACTTTCAAAAAATGAAAATTAAAATTCACCCAAGAACAATTCAAATTTGTTATGCTTTATTTTTTGTTGGAAATCTTCTTCAATAGAGAATTCTTGTCATCAAAATATAATCTTAGCTTTTTGAACATTTAAATAAAAATTCAATAAATTTTACTTTTTCCTTATCAAAATCAATTTAGTTCTATTAGCTTAGCATAAATGTTGATGGATTGGAATAGTATTAATAGAACTCAATTGTAGATTAGTGAAAAGTAAAACTCATTTGAAAATTTTCAATTTTTTCACTAACAAGGCCCACCATGTTGCTATACAATCATCACCTTAAGATCAGCTGTGATTCATGATCCGACGGTCCAATTGTGTTACTGCTTTTCAACTTCAATAGACCGTACAACTTCCGTATCTCTTTCACTGGAACCAAACTCTCTTTGCATCCACTGGACTCGCCGGAGTCATCCGCCGACAGTCTCGGCGACGAGCTCTCCCAAGATCTCCGGCCATATTTTCCGGCCACTCTCGAATCGCCGTTGGTCTGCAGCGCCGCCGTAATCACAGATTTCAACGCCCTGCTTGGCGAGGTCCGGTTGGCGATCATGATCTCGCCGATCTCCGCCGCGCTCAGCTTCGCGCCGCCCTGAAACACCTCCTCCACTTGCGGAAACAACTTGTGGTCCCTGAGCCCTAGATAGCTATTCGCTAGACTCTTGAAAGAATTAAAATCACAGAGTGGAAAATATATGTGAACATCGATTCTTCCCGGCCGGAGTATCGCCGGATCGATTTGATCTTTGCTGTTCATCGTGAACACCATCACTCTCTCATCTCCGCAACACGAGTTCACAATGCCATCCATGAAGTTCAACACACCGGAGAAGCTCAACGCCGTCGATTTCTCCACCATGAACCGATCGAGATCTTCGATTACAATCACAGACTTGTTCTTCGTCTGCAACAAAAGCATTTTCAGATCAGAATCGTCGGAAACTCTCCAGAGATCGACATCGTAGACATCGTAAGAGAGGAAATTTGCCATGGCGGCGATAAAGCTAGATTTTCCGGTACCGGAGGGACCGTAGAGTAGGTAGCTTCTCTTCCAGACTCGGCCGAGTCGGTGATAGTACTGTTTGGATTTGAGAAACGATTCGAGATCGGACTTGACCTTATGCTTCAAATCCAAATCCATGGCGATCGTGTCGAGAGTCGAAGGATGCGTGAACGGAAACGATCTCCACCGTCCGTTTCTCTGATCATCAGATTGCGTGTTCATGTACAGCTTCACTTCCCTCCGCCTCTGCTCAATCTCATCCAAAACCATATGAATGTGTTGAAGATAAGGTCTGAGAATCCGACGCTTATCCTTCTTTTTGATCCTCAACACAAAGGTTCTTCGCCGTATCTGATCACTCCCTCTCACAACCTCGTTCGTCCACGACACTCTGGCTCTGAGAAACTCATCGTGAACCGTCTGATCATCGTCGAGGCAGAGAACGATCTCATTTGATTTTTTTCCGGAGAAGAGATTGGTGAAATCGGAGTCCTCAATCGTAGCCAACGAATTCAAGTAAGTGTAGACTTTCCTGTAAAGTTGATTCTCTTGAAAATTCTCATTCAATTCGGGCACTCTGAAGCACTGGTGAACATGAACTCTGTCTTCAATCCAATGCAACCATCTCTTCAAAACGTAAATCAAAGCAGTCCTATACAAGAACAATCGAACCAGAACGAATACACAAGCAATCACAACAAACAAACAAAACAAATATCTAAGAATCGAAAACATGACTTTCTCACTGAAATTTAATTTGGTAAAATCATATATATATATATATAGTAGGATTATACAAGGTGAGATATCATTTTTCTAGGTTGGAGTGATGAACTCTCTTTTGTTACTCAGTCAGTGGCAACTGGATTTTATAAAAGTAGTTTTTGTTTTTCTTTTTTTTTTTGGCTACGTTGCTTAGCGGGGTAAACACTATCAGGGAGGGTTTATATATGGATTTTTATTATTGGCTAGTTTGAATTATATTTTGTATATTTGTAGATGAGTAGTGTGTCATAAGGTGTTTTATTTGATTTAAAATTTTAATATTTATATGCATTCAAACTTTGGTTGGTTTTTTTTATACTAATCGATTTCAAATAAAATTGTAGTCAAGTTGAGTTGGTGCGTTTTTATTTTTTTTAATATTGTATATATAAATTTATTTAATTAAATTAAGAAGATTAATGAATTTCAAAATATGTTTAAATATTCGACCATTAATACTAAAGTAAGACACATTATTTTTCAATTGAGGTGAATTTGTTGAAATTTTTTGAAATTTATGAGGTTTGATGGAAAATGAATTTGTTCACACATATATTAATTTGATCAGTTTAAAATGATGGATTAGTTATTCAAAAATTGTAATTATTCCAATCAAGTGATGTGCGTGAACAAAATCAAATTCGGTTTCATTATGTAAACAAAGTCAGACTTCATAGCAAAGAACTTTAAAGGCACATCTCAAATTATATTTAGAATGTTTTGCTCTTTCACCGTTTATTTAAGATTAATTTGTTATTTAAACAAATAAAATTTGAATACATTTTAAAATTCAGATCGAACTTGAATATGCACTTGATTCAATTAAAGCTCTTTTGAAATCAATTCAAAAGGTAAACACACAACTTGAATTTATTTTGAAACTCATTAATTATTCAAGATAAACTAGAACTTATTTTGAACAGCCCACTGTTGAGCTCATTTTGAACAACCCACTATGTGTGTGTGTTTGATTGGACGGAATGGATAAGGGGATTAGAATCCATCGGATTTGAGTACTGGGACTGTGAATTCCCGGACTATTTGGTTGGATTGGATATGTATCTTGTGTTTATTTTTTCATGAGATTAGATGTCTGTAAAGGACTATTTTTACCAACGTTTGGTGACTATTTGGTTGGATTGGATATGTATCTTGTGTTTATTTTTTCATGAGATTAGATGTCTGTAAAGGACTATTTTTACCAACGTTTGGTTGAACGGATTGGATAGGATAAATGAACAAAAGACTATTTTACTCTTTTTCAATTGTTTACTAAGTAATAGCAATATTAAACATGTCTTTAATATTTTAATTATTTTTAGCTAGATAAAATAAAAATTTATTTTATTTTATTTTTTACACAATTAAATAAATTTATTTTTTTTAAAATAAATAAATAAATAAATAATAACCCTTTCCAGGACCAATGGAACAGCATCAATACACATATCCAGTCACCCATCACCTTACATTAATCAATGGGGAAGCTTTTCTTCACTCTACTTGGTGGATTAAAACCTATTATTATATTTATGAAATTTATTACGAATTTTGTTTCGATAATTGGAGCGTTTATATATAAAATTTATCAAGTATTTTATACTTACAAAATTAGCATTGATCAGATATCGTAACCTCTTGATCGGAATATATTTTTATTAATGATAAATACGATTAAATAAGATTTTAAAATATATGATTAACAAAAATTTATTCCGATAAAAGGGTTTTCGATATTCGATCAATGTGATTTTTTATATATATGGAAGTACTCAACGAACTTCTACATATTAAACGGTTTGGATTATCTAAATGGGATCCGTGATAAATTCCATAAACCTAACAATATACTTTAATCCACCCATAAACTGGAAACCTCTTCCCTAATTAAACACTATAGTACAGAAAACAATCATTCGACATTGTCCAAAAATTCCAATAGATAAGCATAGCTACTCTTTTATATTGTTCTATACCCTCCCAAAAAAATATCATGTACATGTAAGCGACGCCAACCACCAAAAATAAATGAACTTTCAAAAAATTAAATTAAAATTCACCCAAGAACCCTAAACAATACGACAATACACTTTAATCCACCAATAAACTAGAAACCTCTCCCTAATTAACACCATACCACGGAGAAAATCATCGATATTATCAAAATTCAAAATAGATTAAGCATAGTTACTCTTCATATTGTTCCAAAAGAAAAAATCATGTACATGTAAGCGATGCTAACCCACACCAGTTTAAAATAAACAAACATTCAAAAATGAAAATTAAAATTCACCAAGAACCACCTCCCAAAAAAAAAAAATTCATGTACATGTGAGCAAATGCCAACTCACCAATTTAAATAAGCAAACTTTCAAAAAATGAAAATTAAATTCACCAGAACAATTCAAATTTGTTATGCTTTATTTTTTGTTGGAAATCTTCTTCAATAGAGAATTCTTGTCATCAAAATATAATCTTAGCTTTTTGAACATTATAAATAATAAATTCAATAAATTTTACTTTTCCTTATCAAATCAATTTTAGTTCTATTAGCTTAGCATAAATGTTGATGGATTGGAATAGTTTAATAGAACTCAATTGTAGATTAGATGAAAAGTAAAACTCATTTGAAAATTTTCATTTTTTCACTAACAAGGCCCACCATGTTGCTATACAATCATCACCTTAAGATCAGCTGTGATTCATGATCCGACGGTCCAATTGTGTTACTGCTTTTCAACTTCAATAGACCGTACAACTTCCGTATCTCTTTCACTGGAACAAACTCTCTTTCGCATCACTGGACTCGCCGGAGTCATCCGCCGACAGTCTCGGCGACGAGCTCTCCCAAAGATCTCCGGCCCATATTTTCCGGCCACTCTCGAATCGCCGTTGGTCTGCAGCGCGCCGCCGTAATCACAGATTTCAACGCCCTGCTGGCGAGTCCGGTTGGCGATCATGATCTCGCGCGATCTCCGCCGCGCTCGCTTCGCGCGCGCACTGAAACACCTCCCTCCTGCGGAAACAACTTGTGTCCCTAGCCCTAGATAGCTATTCGCTAGACTCTTGAAAGAATTAAAATCACAAGTTATCTGTCTTGTATTAACATTCTCAGTCGTTTTCGGTTCGTCTAGTTCGTTCAAGCTGTTCGGTACTGGTTTGCTGACTGTTTAGAATTATGTTCGGGTAATACAGTCTGAACATAATCCTTTCGTTCAATACATAGGTTCCGAACATTAATGTAGATAGTCAGTCATGTAATTTTCTTTGTTAAACTAACTTAGAATGATAAAGAGTAAGTTTGAATGGATTTAAGTTATGATTTTGAAGGATTTAATTCATGTTATTTTAAGTTGTGAATTAGAATGGATTCAAGTTACACAGTGATGAACAAATTTTGTTCGGACATACAGGCTGACATGATCATTATTGTTCGATAAAACAGTTCTGAACAAAATACATTTTCGGCTACACAGGGCAGTGGAACAAATTCAAAAATCATCACTCGAATCTGCTGATCTCCTATCAAGATTCTTTGAATTCAGGGCATTTAGATGAAAGATTTATCTGGTTCTTCTGGCTGTCTCCAAAAAATCCAGATGTTAGAAACTAGATTCTCAAAGAAATCAATGAGAAATCTAAAGCTCCGATCTACGAAGAAATTAAAAAGACATGGTTACACACACGCGTCGCTGAGTGAGACCATGAGACTCTACCCACCCATCCCCATTGACGGAAGCAAGCTTTAAAGAACGACCGTGTTGCCAAATGGGACAATAGTGAAGAAAAGGTATGAGAGTGAATTACCATCCTTACGTAATGGGGAGTCGGAGGAACATATACTGGACCAAAGCTCCAAACTCTAAAGATGAGGAGTCAGAGAAGGAGAGAGATGAAAAATTAGGTGGGTGTGCATTCATTGTTGAAAATATTATGAATAATGGGTAAATTTGGAATAAGTGGGTGCGTCCAAAAAATTATTATTAAAATTTAGGGTTTAGGGTTGGAGTCCAAAGAAATGGGGAGTCAAAAGAATTTTGATAGGTGCTAATAGCAGCACTCTTTAAAAAATTATTAAACCAAAAAATCTAAAAAGTCAGTTTTACCAACTTCCCAAATCACATCCAAAAAGTCAAAAAACTTGATAAAAAATCAAAAAATAAACTTTTTCCTAATTTTTCCAAAAATAACTACTCAAAAGTCAAGGACTTCTTATAATATTTTAATGTGTTAAGCATATTGATATTACTACAACAATAATAATATATTTCTCTAAATTAAAGAGTTGTATTGAACTTAATGACATGAAAAGTCAAAAAAATAAAAGAAAAAACACAAGACACAAATAATCCCTACCACAACAGTGAGCCCACGTCCTATTAAAACTATTTATCCCATTAAAACTTTAGAACTCCAAATATTTTTGTTACTAGAATATACTGCTTACTAGGAGTGGCGCGGATCGGTTGGGCCACGAAACCTCCCATCCGCCATCGTCCGTCAAGATTGGCGGATTGAAGAAAATCAATCGCATCCGTCCCGCCAATCCGGCGATGTGGATTGAGCGGAATTGGCGGTTTGGCGATGGATGCGAATCGGTTTGGCGGTTTAAAATTTTATAAATTTATCAACATTAATTCAAACTTGTGCACTTCCTTAAAAAAAAAAAAAAAAAAAAAAAAAAAGTATTACAGTCAATGACTTAAAAAAGTATTACAATCACTGTATGCCTTATCCAAAGAAAGAAAGTTTGAAACTTTAGAATTCACGATCACTGTATGCTCATCCACATATTAAATTACAGCATGATTCATCCTATAAAGTATTACAATCTGTGATTCTTAAAAATATAATAACAATTCAAACGCACCAAAACCATAAAAACAGCTAGTAGAGATTGAATGTCTCTATATTGTTACATCTACAATGTTTTTGAAAACAAAAACCAACCGCATATATCATATTTTTTATTTTTTATTTTAAGTTAGATTTAAAAACTAAAAAATATAGATGAATAATATTTTATTTTTTCAATTCAAAAATATATTCAAGTTGAAAATTTTTTCAACAGAATATTTAAACTCTTTTTCAATTGAAACACAAACATAATATTTAAACAAATGAAAATACAAAGTCTTATAAATTACT